AGGCAGGAGGCAGGAGGCAGGAGGCAGGAGGCAGGAGGCAGGAGGCAGGAGGCAGGAGGCAGGAGGCAGGAGGCAGGGAGGCAGGAGGCAGGAGGCAGGAGGCAGGAGGCAGGAGGCAGGAGGCAGGAGGCAGGAGGCAGGAGGCAGGAGGCAGGAGGCAGGAGGCAGGAGGCAGGAGGCAGGAGGCAGGAGGCAGGAGGCAGGAGGCAGGAGGCAGGAGGCAGGAGGCAGGAGGCAGGAGGCAGGAGGCAGGAGGCAGGAGGCAGGAGGCAGGAGGCAGGAGGCAGGAGGCAGGGAGGCAGGAGGCAGGAGGCAGGAGGCAGGAGGCAGGAGGCAGGAGGCAGGAGGCAGGAGGCAGGGGAGGCAGGAGGCAGGAGGCAGGAGGCAGGAGGCAGGAGGCAGGAGGCAGGAGGCAGGAGGCAGGAGGCAGGAGGCAGGAGGCAGGAGGCAGGAGGCAGGAGGCAGGAGGCAGGAGGCAGGAGGCAGGAGGCAGGAGGCAGGAGGCAGGAGGCAGGAGGCAGGAGGCAGGAGGCAGGAGGCAGGAGGCAGGAGGCAGGAGGCAGGAGGCAGGAGGCAGGAGGCAGGAGGCAGGAAAAGAGACAAGTCAGAATCATGCTAAAGAACCATTCCTAGGATCCAAAACCCTGAACACCACAGGAAGAATCCCACAGCAAGGAAGGAGAGAACAAAGTAGAAGTGACAACAGATTGTCTTCAGGTCCAACCTTTAACACAGAGGCAGGGGGGAAGCTGTGATTCAACATACAGACAGGTGCCTTCCTAAGGGCCCAGGACACAAGGTTTAGGGGGCTGATGTGGCTCTGGGACCAGGCTGGTAGGAAATTGCTAGTTACAAAATGGCGCCTGCAAAGTGGGTACTAGGAACTTCCACTTAAAACTTGACAAAAGTTTAAGAAGAGATTTTTAAAAACAAAAGAACAGAGACAAACAAGCCTTCTTGGTAGCAGCATTTTTCTCGGGTGGGCTCTGTTTTGCTAGAGACAAGCAGAGACTCACGCGGCTCCTTTAAGAGAGGTTTCCTGACTCAACAAGCAGAAAAAGCCACAGGGCTCTTTTAAGAGGCCCGGCTAACAAGTGAATGGTGTGTACGGAGCAGCTGGCCACTGTAATTTTAACAATGTTGTTGTTTAGCAGATAAAAGACTCGTGGCCACAAAAAGATAAAGATTTATAATAAAGACATATTATGATAAAGAAAAACCTTTAAAAGTTTAAGGTGTGTTTTAAAATATACATGGGCTTGGGAGAGAAAAAGAAACAGGATAAAGTGTTTTTAAAAGAAGAAGAAGAGATAAACAAAGAAAGAGAGTAGGTGGGTGTGGTGGCACACACCTTTAATTCCAGCACTTGGGAGGCAAAGGCAAGGAGATATCTGTGATTTTAAGGCCAGCCCGGTATACAGAGTGGATTCCAGGGCAGCCAAAGTTACACAGAGAAACCCTGCCTCAAAAAAAAAAAAAAAAAAAAAAAAAAAAAAGTAAAAGAAATAGAGTAATAAAAAAGCCACCTAAGATGGGAAATATACAGAAAGTCTGCATACTGTATGCTATTGTGTTGTCTTTGAATTGCCCAATTGCTAAGGAAGGATCAACAACTGCTAAAATATACTTGATTATCAGTAGTGCTGAATTAATCCAATTTATATATTTTAAAAATGCCTTCACTTCAAAATTTAAGTCTAATGACAGGTTACTGGGGAAAAATTTCTATTTTTGTTTCTACAGAAAATAAAAATCTGTGGATTCCTTCCAGACTAACATGGTTTGATCAAGCAAGACCCCTGAAGCAGTGTCCCAGGTAATCCAACATTCAAAACAGCTGGGACAAGGCAGCCTTGCAGACTACAGCCAAGATTTCTGCATCTTCTTAGGATTCCCATGTTATTACAGCATCCCTAACCAGCAGGCAGCAGTTCCAAATATTGTCTATAAATGTTTGTTTTCATTTAAATGGGGTTGGTTATAAATGGTTAATGATCACAATCAATCTCTTTTTAAAGGTTAAGAGGAGATTATGGTATAGAAATGAATACTTTGTTTTGGAATGGATTTTCATTTATTGATACAAATTTAAGATTAATTTTGTGATAAGTATATTTTTCCTCTTATTTAGGGATTGTGTTTGCATATCTCATTTAAAAATATAATGTATAATTAAGTACAGATTGTAGTTAGTTACCTATGATAGTCAAAGCTTATAGTTAGGTTGGTTAGGTTTTCTAGATATACAGAGATATATTTCAAATGGATAGGCATTCTTCAAACCTTTCAAAGACCTACAGAATATGGCATTTAAAATGGTTTTTCTTGACAGTGAGACATAACTGCTCCTGGTAATACCAACTGTGTCAGAAGGGAAGATGGACATTGAAGAAACGCGTTATGGAGTTTGCTTCCAATATGGTAAGACTAACAAGTTGGACAAGATACTGCTCTTATCTAGACAGTTTAACTATATGCTTTATAAAGTAGACATGCAGGACCCACAGGAAACTAAGCCAATATTACATTTATATTTTTGATTATGAGCCTAGGGTTTAATGGCTGAGCCATGGATACATAACCTGAACTGGTCATCTGTGGTCAGATTGGTGATTACACCAATTGTTATTAGAGAGCCTCCATTCAGTAATTGGTAGGAACAGATACAGAGACCCATAGCCAACAAACATTAGGCTGAGCTCAGGGAATCCTCCTGAAGAGAGGGAAGGATTGTAGGAGCCAGAGGGATGAAGTACAAGTCCCATTTTATTTTTTGAAGGTGTTTTTTACTTCTGTCTTTACGACACTGTCTCTTTACATGGGCTTTGGAGGAGGTCGTGGCACAGCACTAGCAGGGCTAAATCGTGGCGGGGTGTTCAGTTCTTCCGGGCTTCATGAGATGATTCCTGACTACTTTGCTATGAATAGCACAGCTCACTCAGTAATACAGCTTGACATAGAGTTTGGGAAGCATGTATGCATCAGAGACACTTGCTTCTGATATGTCCCTGACAGCAGCAGCCTCTACAATGTTCCAAATGAGGAACTTCTTAATGGCCTTGTCCTTGAACACACACAGTTAGTCCAGCCAATTGGCTGCACATGGCTGCAGCCCGTTGTTTGGCACACCCATTGTTTCTTCTTTTTTTGGCCATCTTGGAGCCAAGACCTAAAAGAGCATAAATATATATTTTTTAAAAGAGTAGATTTATAGGGGGGATATTTTCAGTTTGTGCAAGTAACTCATTTTCCTTTAACTCTGCCCATGTATTTAGCAGGAATAGACCCCCCAACAGTCATTGCTATGGTTTCTTTTTTAAGTGTATCTTAACTTAAAATGTTTTTAAAAGATTTGTTATCATTTAAGATTTTATTTTTAACTGTATGTGTGTGCACATTCGAGTAGAGTGCATTCGCGTAGAGCTGGAGTTAGAGGCAGTTGAGAGCTGGGTGATGGGAACAGAACTGAGGTCCTCTAGAAGAGCAGCAAGCACTCTTTAACAGTTGAGCTGCCTCTTCAGCCGTTATCACTATTACTATAATTATTATTATTAAATTATGTATACATGTGTATACTAGTGCAGGTGGCCTGGAGAGCCCAGAAGAGGGCGTCAGATCTCTTGCAGCTAGAGCTACATGTTGTTTCAAGGCTCCTGACATGGGTGCTAGGAACTGAACTTGGGTCCCCTGCAAGAGCAGTATGTACTCTTAACTACTGAGTTCTAAAGACAAGTCTGTACTTTCTTTGTTCCTTCTGTACTCTTTGGAATTTTATGCTCAAAGGCTGGGTTTGGAAATGCCCCTTCCTATTTAGTTTTCTGGAAGGGCTTAGAAAATATTGGTAAAATCCATGAAACCACTCTGTCACAATTTGGGGAAAGTTTTTTACTTAAAAATTCTATTTCTTTGTTTTTTCTTCCATTTCAATGTATTTAGTGTGTGTGACGGGTGTGCAAATGTATCATGGCATGCATTGGAGGTCAGAGGACAAACTTGCAGAAGATGGTTCTCTCCTTCTACTGTGTGTGACACGAGCTCAGTGGCGAGTGCTTTTACTTGCTGAGCCATGTCACCAGACCTAGAAATCCAATCTTAATTTAATGATTACAGGACTATTAAGGTGTTGTGCTTTTCTTTGAGTGAGGTACAGCAGCTGCCATGGGACGTATGAACCAGCAGCACACACTCTTTCCTTCCAACACCAGTGACTTACTGCTCCGTTCTTCTTGGTCATTTGCTTAGGGTTTTACCAGTTTTACTAACCAGTTCAAGAAATGCTTTTATTTCTTTGGCTTTATTATTTTATTTTGATGTGTTTCATTAGCTGTGACCCAGTATCTGTTATTGTTTTCTGTGCACTTTTGGTTTGCTTTCCTTTTCCTTTTTTAGTTTTTTGTTTTTCAAGACAGGGTTTCTCTGTGTAGCCCTGGCTGTACTGGAACTCACTCTGTAGCCTCAAACTCGCAGAGACTTGCTTGCCTCTGCCTCCTGAGTGCTGGGATTAAAGTATGTGCCACCACTGTCTGGCTCCTTTCTTTAGTTTTCAAAGGGAGAAACTTAGGCTATTTTATTTTTTCAACACATGCATTTGAATTTCCACTCCCCCGGGTTGTTTTTTTTTTTTTTTTTTTTTTTTTTTTTTTTTTTTTTGCATTCTTGTGTCTTCCTGCCTTTCTCCAGAACCCTGCCAGCTTCCCTAAGGCTTACCCACATCTGCCCTGCAATCATCACCCAACATGTTTGCTGTTGTCATCACTGGGTGTCCCTATCTCTCCCAGGGCTCTGTAAAATGGACATGCTCTGTGTACCTCTGACTTGGTCAGCCCGTGACCTCAATGTGGCACTATTTATGATGAATGGATGAGGGCAAGAATGCAAAGAGAGGACAGAGATGGAGTGTAGGGACATGGCGAATATTTTCTAATAGAAAGAAGCCACAAAAGAGCAAGATTAGCCAGTGAGAGAATGTTTATTAATGATGCTTCAGGGTTGACAGAATCTTTAATCACATGATTTAATCATAGTTTCTCTTACAGAAGTTCATGCTTATATCTTAGGGGTTGGGGGTCTGATCTATGGCCATGAACACCTCGGATACAAGTGGGTGCTGGGGACATTAGGTGTCTACATTTGGAGCCTCATATTTTGCACTGGCAGCACACAGGGGCACAGCAACAGGGCTTGCAGCAGCTTGACTGACAGCAGCAGGGCTTGCAACAGCTGGACTGACAACAGCAGGGCTTGCAACAGCTGGACTGACAGCAGCAGGGCTTGCAGCAGCTGGACTGGCAGCAAGAGGACCCACAACCTGAACAGCAGCAGGGCTTGCAACAGCTGGACTGACAGCAGCAGGGCTTACAGCAGCTGGACTGGCAGCAAGAGGACCCACAGCCTGAAGAGCAGCAGGGCTTGCAGCAGCTGGACTGACAGCAGCAGGGCTTGCAACAGCTGGACTGACAGCAGCAGGGCTTGCAACAGCTGGACTGGCAGCAGCAGGGTTTGCAGCAGCTGGACTGGCAGCAACTGGTCTTGCAGCCCCCACAGGAGCCACAGCCACCCTTGCAGCCCCCACAAGAACCACAGCCTCCCTTGCAGCCCCCACAGGAGCCACAGCCTCCCTTGCAGCCCCCACAGGAGCCACAGCCACCTTTGCAGCCCCCACAGGAGCCACAGCCCCCACAGGAGCCATAGCCTCCCTTGCAGCCCCCGCAGGAGCCACAGCCTCCCTTGCAGCCCCCACAGCTGGAGCAGGAACAGGCAGGCACACAGCAGCACACAGGCTTGCAACAGCACACAGGCTTGCAGCAGCTGGAGCAGCAGCCCCCACAGCTGGAGCCACAGCCTCCAGAACAGCCACAGCAGCTCATGGTTCTGGTATTGGGTTGAAGATGGAGTAGATCAGAGGAACAGGTAGAGAGGGAAGTGTGCAGGTGTGGAGCCTCCTGGGTCTGGGGCCTTTATATCCCTGCCCAGGGTCAGGTGGGAGGCTGCACATGGTCACTTCCTGATTGTTTTTTTTCCCCCAGTGCAGCTGTATGTCAATATAATAAACATTGCTCTGTCCTGTGACCCATTTCCTCCATGTCAGTGGTTTTCCTGCAGATCTTCAGGTCTTGACTTCCCAGGATCTGGTGCCCCTGGGCACTGAAGAGCTTTACCCATCCCTGCCCTTGGCCCTACAGCCTGGGTGTCTCACAGCATGGTGAGATTTCTCCTTGTTTATCCACTTCCATTCCATTGTCTTGTAGAAACACTGACTTTACTGGCTCTTCATTTAAATTGGACAAGAATGAGAGTCTGTTCTAATTGTGTCTTGATGGGAGATGTCATTCTGTAAATATGTTTCTCATACTGGTTAATGAATGAAGCACTGTTGGCCAATAGGAAAGCAAGATAGGCGGGACTAGGAGACAAGGAGGAGGAAAGAGGAAGTAGTAGGGAGGAGTGAGCTTGTAGAGACTGGAGAGAACAGAGGTCCAGGCCCACTCTCAGGTAAGATGAGAACACGTGGAAATACTTAGATTAATAGAAATGGGTTAATAATTAAGACAGAACTAGCTGATAAGAAACTAGTACCTGGCCAAAGCATTATATCTAATACAGAGTCTCAGTGTGTTATTTGGGGCTGGCACCGCGGTGGGTCCAGGCTGGCAGGAAAACATACTTGTAATAGTGTCTCAGGGCAGAAAGTTCCAGTGCCAGTTCTCTGGCTCCTTGGATGCCTCCAGGCTCCTTCTTGGTCGGCTTCTTAGAGTCTTTCCTGCCATTGCTTCTTCCTTGGCTGGTCCTGCTTCACTGTCTCTCAGAGTGGTTATCAGCTGCTGCCCCACCCAGGTTTTCTGTTTGTTTTTGTTCCTGCGGGACAGTTCTCTTTTCTACTCTTGCTCTCTGACACTCCATAGCTTTCCTTCAGTCCACAGTTACTTTTCCAGCTCTCCATCCCACTGTGGTCTGAAGTGCCCTGGAACCCAGCAATGACTCCACAGCCTCGGGGTCAGGCCTCTCCCAGGCTCAGCTCTGTTAACTCAGCTCTGCACACTCACATGTGTCCCATGCATTCATGGGGCCTTTACCTACCTTTGTCCAGAAACTCATCTTTGACCTTCAGCCCCAAAGGCATGACAGAAGGCTCAGCTCTCCCCCTCCCTCTGTCTCTCAGGGCTCATTATTTTCTTAAGGTGATGTCACCTAGATTTCTTTGTGTTCTTGGCTCTGGAGAAATTCTTAAAATGTCCATCCATGCCTTTGTAGGCTTAACAAAGTTAGTACATATACAAAATAAAGGGCTTTGCCATGACATTTCCATAGGTACGTGCTACACTACACCTTGATCGTATTCACCTTCTCTATGACCCTGTTTGGAAAACAAGCATTGTATGTATGGTATAAATCCATGGATGTGTGCTTGTGTTTGTGTGTGTAATTGTTGGTGCTTGTGCCATGATGCTATTTGATCAAGAAAAGGCCTCACATATTCACCCTCTACCTTGTTTGAGACAGGGTCTCCTGTTTGCTGCTGTGTCACAGGGCTAGCTGTCCCATGAGCCTCTCTGGCCATTCCTCTATGTCTATCTCTCATCTCATTGTAGGAGTGTGGTGCTATAGATGTGCCTTACTGTGTGAAGCTTCAATTTTACATAGTGTCTTAGTTGGGGTTTTTATTTCCATGGCAAAAGAAAGTGACCAAAAATAAGTCGGGGAGAAAAGGATTCTTTTAGCTTACACATCCATATCACTGTTTGTCTTCAATGGAGGTCAGGACAGGAATTTAGACAGGGCAGGAACCTGGGAACATGAGCTGATGCAAAGGCTATGGAGGGGATCTGCTTACTAACTTGCTTTTCCTGGCTTGTTCAGCCTGCTTTCTTATAGAACCAAGGACCTGCAGACCAGGGATCACCCCACCCACGATGGGCTGGGTCCTGCCAAATCAATCACTAATTAATAAAATGCTCTACAGCCCACTCTTATGGTGACAATTTCTCAATGGAGGCTCCCTTCTCTCTGATGACTCTAGCTTGTGTTAAATTGATAAAGAACTAAGCAGTACATGTGGGTTTGGGGGATTTGAACTCAGGTCCTCATGCTTGCACAGCAAGTGCTTCACCTGCTGAGCTGTCTCCCCAGCCCTTTCCCTCCCGCCTTCCCTTCCTCCCTCCATCCCTTCCTCCTTCCTTTCCTCTCTTCCTTCCTCCTTCCCTCCCTCTCTTCCTCCCTCCCTCCCTTCCTTCCTCCCTTCCTTCCTATTTTGTTTACAAATCATATTTGTTCCTTGTTCATCTATTGATGGATTTCCAGGCTCCTGTAAAACACAGCTTTTGGGAACAGAATAACTACGAGGAGAACTAAATGTTTCCAGTGTGTTCTAAACAGATTATTTTGGGTATACACCAAGAGGCAGTATAGCTGACTCATATGGTGGCTCTGTTTTCAGGCTTTTGAGGGTCCTCCATACTGATTTCCATGGTGTCTGAACTAATTTACATCCCACCAGTAGTGTGAAGGGTCCCTGCTCTGCTATGTCCTCACCATCATCTTTGGTTTCTTTTCTTGATGAAACCACTCTGACTGGGATGAGGAGAAATTTCAAAGCAGTTTCGATTTGCATTTCCTAATGCAGTGCTGAGTCCTCTAGCCCCTGTGTATTTATTAGGCATCTGTGCATCTTTTAAAGGGGTTATTCTGTTCATTTCACATTTATTGATTAAATTATTTGCTATTTTGATGTTCAACTTATTTTTAGATTTATTTATTTATTTATTTTATGTGTATGGCTGTTTGCCTGCATGCGTGTACATGCACATACTCACAGAAGTCAGAAAAGAGTACCATATACCCAGGAACTGGAGTTATAGACAGTTTGTGAATGTGGGTGCTGGGAGCTGAACCCCATTATCTGTTTTTAACTACCACTGAGTCACCTCTCACACTCCTTGATGTTTATTTTTAAACGTTCTTTATATATTCTGTATACTAATATTTACTAGGTAAATAGCTCCCACTCTGCAAGTATATCTTCACTCTGAAATTGGTTTCTCTTGCCACCTAGAAGCTTCTTAATTTGAAACAACCCCATTGGTACTTTCTTGCTACTATTTTTTCCTGGATTTTTGGAACCCTGCTGACCTAAGTTTGATTCCTGGAACCTACATGGTGGCAGGGGAGAATTGACCCTGGCAAGCTGTCCTCTGACCTCCATACATATGCCATAACATGTGTGTACATGCTCCTCCACCAAGCAAAAAATTAATGGTGTTTGTGTGTGATTTTTAAAAAGAAAAGACATTTGAGCAAAAGTACTTTGCATGGATGAACAATGCTGTTCCCTGAAGACATGATCCATTAAATGAAAAATCTCAGTGCCTGGCCTGAGATATCTACTTTTGAGTTATTGGTCAGAGAGGTCCTAGGGGTCTCCAAAACCACGCAGGCTGTTGCCATTTCCCTGGGTTACCTATTGTGCTCACATGGTTAGACACTGTTTCTAAAGGCATGACACACTATGCAGGAGCCAGAGACACCAATCTCAAACTAACCAGGAAACACACACACTTCCTGGTTGGGTAGTTTCCATAGTGTTGGAAAGTGCTATGCAGGCTTCTGGGGGTGAAGAGTCATCTGTGGCCTTTCCCACTGCTGGATCCTGCAAGCCACATACTGACCCGCCAAGCCAGCTCTGCCCACTGGAGCAATTGCCATCTGATTGGAATTGAAGCCAGTTCCACAGGAAGCAATTTCTTGCCTGGTACTGTAATCCTGGTCAAAAGCCCATGGCTAGGGAGTTTTATCACAGCAATAGAATGAACCTAGAACATGTGGTAAACAGTGTTTTTGTTTTCATTTTATTCTATGAAGAGAAAATAGAAATCTTGCAGAGTTTTAAATTGGCAATATGTCAGATTATAGCTACAAAATAAGGAGCTACACACAAGGAAAATACAAAAAATAAAAGAAGTCCTCTCCAATTTAAAATGCAATAGCAGAACTCAGTAGAAATTTTGCAAGGTAGACTTAGACCAGATTTCAGAGAAGGATGTGGGGAGGAGCCACTGGAGAGGAAGTGGGAAAATTAGCACAGACATTCATTGCCAGGGCCAAGCACATGAGACAGTTGGCATGGAGAAAATAGAACATCACCAGATGCCATTCAAGAGTTCCTAGCACAGACAGACAATCTTCAGGTTCATACTCTTCATCCATGTGTCATGGGGTTGAATGATTAGATACCCAGCAAGGGTACTATACCACCACAGAGCAGAGATCTACTCAAGAGATTGTTGAAGTTTCCAGAGAAGAAGGGACAGACCCCTTGCATGAAATGGGTGACACACACTGGAATGCTCTTCAGTAGCAATGACACTAAATACCAGAAGGCTGGGTGAGTAGTGGCACGTGCCTTTAATTTTACTGCTCAGGAGGTGGAAGCAGGCAGATCTCTGTATCTCAATAAGTAAACAAAAATAAATAAACAGATGAAGAAAAGAAAGAAGAACATAAAAACAGAAGAAGGGAGAGCATTTTGATTTTCACTTTGGAAACATTTTCTGACCTAAATATGTTAAAGGTCAAGTGTCCGGTCAGAACTAAGACTTTTTCAAGAACACTGATCTTCAATGGATGTGTCTGCCCACCTTTTTTTCTTGGGACCCTCATGGTGGATGCCATCTGAGAAAGTTTAACCAGTGAAAACCTTGGATCTGATGAGCGCTCAGAGAGGCAGCTCACAAGTCTTGCATTTTCAAGGAACTTCTTGGGGTGGCGGCTGGCCTAGTACCCAGAGGAAGAGGTGAAAACTCCATAGAGATTATCCACCTGGGAGAGATGTCAAGGCCAACACCTGCAGCCTCCTGGATTGCACGGCGCAGGCTTC